GGTTGTTTAAAGGACATTATCGGACATACACAATGGAAGGCATTCAGAAGCAGCCAGGGGGGGATTCTGCATGAGCCAAATAGCCGAGACAGGACCAATCGTCAAAATTTTGGTGTCGATCATTCGATTTCATCCTGGACACTACAGAAAAGGGGCTAAAAGTGTTAAAAACCGGAATTTTCCTTTAACTTTCTCTTTAGTATAGTCATAGTTTTTGCAAACATTACACATTAGAATTCTTAACTTTTTACTTATAGTCCATTTTACATATTTTAAACTGTAAACAGTTTTCTTTTATCTTCAACATAAATCACCACATAAACCATCTCTTTCAATCTGCCTCCACATTTCAACAAACGTTTACCTCTGTTTAGCATGTAGTTGCTCGTTCCATCCACCTGCCTGGATCCGCACAATTTCTATTTAGCAATCTTCTGTTTCACCTGCTCCAGTCTTTATTTAACCTGCCTTCTTCCAGTCATCCATGCCAGATTATTCAAGCCCTTGGTGAGAGTTGTTTAGCGTTCCTGAGTGTTCGGATTGCCTGATCTTGACCAGTTGTGCCTGTGGACCTCTGAGCCTACCTGATCTGCTTGCCTGACCTATCTTCCGACTCCTGATGGATTCTGTTTACAGAACCTGGATCTGCTTCCTGGCACCGACCTGAATATCCCTTCAGCACCTCTTAGGAACTTGGATCTTTTGGCCCAGACTTCCGCGAAGCTCCTTGACAACGGCTTTGGCTTTGCCCTCTGGATCGTCCTGCCTTCCTTCTTCCGCTTGGATCTTATCTCCTGCCTGTTCTTCAGTCTTTGGGGCTTTAACGTATGGGACTCTTTGAGCAGCGTTTGCCACCTCTTGTCAGCAGCCCACCAGTTTGAATCTACCTCTTCCTCTCGGCATGTACTGAAGTTTAAGACCATGGTAGTGACTCACTTGTTCATAATCTTCCTCTGCCAAATCAACATAGTCACTAACCTGTGTTGTCTTCCTGCAGAGGTTCCTGCCTTAGACGGCAGAGCTGTTTTTTTTTTTGCAAATCCGTAATTTTTAATAAACGCCTTTGGAGATATCATATTGTCTGTCTGTCTGAATACTGGTGCTTATGTTCTGAGCCTTGACAGCTTTACAGCAGCAGGACCAGGAAAGCTAATCAAATCCAAGATTTAATTTACTTTTCACAACACCACATAACCTGGAACATACTCAAAGCATCATTGGCTAAATTCTAATAAGCCTACAGCAAATTGGTAAAGAAAAGGCTTTAGCACCTGGGGTACAAAAAGAGGTAGTACCCCAGTAGTAGTAAAAGATGGGGTAGTAAAGATTTCAATCCAGAATGTTTTACTCCACATTCCAACATCAACATGTTGTTCAACAGCTTCGACAAATGGAGTTTAAAGATGATGAGGGATCATTTTGAATTACAATTATCTCAGTTTCATATTTAATGCAACATAATTTCCGTTGAAGCCAACATATAAATAAAACCTAAATGAAACAGTTTCAAGTCTGCTCATATCTGAAACTCTCTCCTCCACTTCACTTAACATTTGATTACCAATTATATTTATACTCACATTATTACCATTTCTATTAATGTCAAAGTGCAGTTACTCAAATATTTGACCTAGACTAGTTTTGATGGAATGAGCACATGGAGCAAATGAATCCAAATATAAAAGTTAAAGGTAAATATAAAATCCCCTAAAGTTGGAGGACCAAAATATATTGTGTGAAATCATCAACACATGGAGCTAAAACGTCCTGTTTATGTTTTTTGCAGTGGATCTGTTTATATATGCTTTATCACAGCTGATTTCCATTGGTGGCTGATTGACAAGCTTCACCGAAATGCATTCACCTAAATCAAACATTGAAAATCTGCAGAGATGCAATTTGCCTTAAATACCAGGATTTAAAAACAATTGTTCAGAACACTTCTGTTATGCAGAGCTAGTTTGTAGCTTTCAATTGGCTGTTGTATGCTACTTGCAGCATGTTTCCTTTGCACATATTATCAGTGTGTTCAGCAAAATTAGCTAAATTGTTAAGGAAACTTAACAGAGCAGAAGTGCTTCAGCGGCTGCCATAATAAATGCTGTTCAAATAAGGAAGCCTGTAACAAAGTAGGAAGAAAGAGAAAGCTTCCTATCAATAGTTCAGTTAGCATAGAGACCTGGACCTATAGGCATAGCCCACTTCACAGTTTGACAAAAGTATATCATTTAATAGCTTGCAATTTAAGTAACCCATGTAAAAGCACAAATTTGTGTGCTTTATATTTTTAATGGACAGATTCAGTCGTTTTCTACATTTGTGTGACAGCCTAACTTTTCTGTTTGTGAATCTGTCAGACTGAAGGTTTCATCTACATGGACCGAACATTAGTTGGAGCCTTGGACACAAACTTTGAAACATAGCTGTTATTTAATCATGAAATTTGCTTGGTTTTATGCATACACATTGTTTTATAAATCAGGATTATTATAATTTTTTATATATACTCAACTTTTCAGATGTTTGGCATAGGTATACCTAAAGTCTGGATAACATGCTTTAAATGAGACCCCTGGGCAACTTGTCATTTTGACAGAATCTCCCTCTATCTCTTCCATTTCTCTTCTCTGCTCGTCATGTTTGCTTTAGTGCAAGTGTCATTGCCAATTTGTACTTCAACGGGGACAAACATGTGAAACAGGCCCTAACAGAATAAGTGAGAAAGTAATGTCAAAACCTAAGTCTAAGAAATATGCAAGAGCAATAAACTACAAAACATAGCAAAAAGCAAGCAGACAGAAAAGGTATGACAAAATCCAAATCAGAAAAATAGAACAGAATTTTATTAAAACTCTAATCTTACCAGTAGTCCCTGACACTGTGACTTTCCTATTGGGGGCTAAGTAGACTTCAAGGGGGTCCGAGACACTTTGAGGTCATTACAAGACAAAGAGCCACGGAAATGAAGCTCAGAGAAATCCAGACATATCAAGCTGGGCATACATTGTACGATTTTTTCAATCGTTGCATGCAGCTATAGCTTACACTGTACAACGAAACCGCAGGGTTTAAAAGTTCACCGTTCACAATGTATGTTCTCACAGTGTAAGGACCGACGCCCTGATGTGATCGACCTGCTCACATTCAACATTGTGGACTCAGCTCCGCAGTGATATGGTGCTACTCGGACTCGTCTATCCGGAAGCCAAATTAGTAAAAGAGGAAAAAGACGGAAGTGTCAATGCCCCCTGTTAAATCAATTATCTCTACTTATTAACTGAATTGCTGATAGCCCGTTGCTAGTGCGGGGTTGAAGTGAAGCCACCAGCCACCATATTGGTACTCCCTAGTTAGACCGGTAGCAATGTAAACAATATGTGCGCTACAGCTTTGAACAACTATGATGTTCTCCTTTTCAGGGGGGCTGAATAAAGATAAATTCATCACTTTGACACACGCTTGGTGTTTCATAAAATAAATAGATTACTTTAACTTATAATAAAAAAAATAGGCACATCGTTGCAAATTCATTTTGAAGTCATTGAATGCTATAAATCATTTAATGATAACATATTATAGAAATCCATCACAACAAAATTAATGTATCAATGGAGCATAATAATACCGATATGCTAAAAGTGCTAAATTGATGATGTACATGCAATATACATGTATTCATACTATACATTGTTATAGTAATTACATATTACATATGATTTAAACATTTTAAATCAAGACTGAATTTCAAGTACATGTCTTTTAATGCTATAGTATTTTCCTATTTGCAAACTGTGCATGCATGATGCCATATACTTTTATGCTGTGTCTGTGCATTAGCCTTTAAAATGTTTGAGTTGCTTTTTATTTCCCGTCAATGTAACATGCAATATATTTCAGCACAACACTTTTTCAAATGAGAAATACAACAAACACTACAAAAAGGACAGTGTCATCCTTTTAATAAAGAGTTAATACATTGACATTTCACAGTGAATTACTTTCTATTTACTTTCTATTATGTAATGTTATGCTACATTCTATACTATGGGATACATCGGCGTATATATGGATTTTCTTGGTTAGTACATCCATTGACCCTGAAATTACCTTTGAATTGTCTGCCCACAGCAGGCAAACAGCTTGTTTTGGCAGCCAAATGCTACACACATACGCATTTTTACGGCGCATCTCCGTCGGAGTTGGGAGTACCAATATGGCGAAAGGGTGCTTTACTTTTTTTGGGCAATCAGCAATCCAGTGAATAAATAGAGATCAGTGTGTTAAATATGAAGCTCACTAGAGTGAAATACGCTGCATTGGCAATTTGTGCAATTTTGTGCTGAAAGCCCTAAAAAGAAAAGGCAATGACATATTTGGACAAAGACATAGCTGAGCAAACATGGCAACTACGGTCTGTTAATTTTACAGAAAGGACTCCATTTCACTCACACCCCCGCCATGCTTCTGTGTTTTCGGCTGAAAGAAGGAGAAGAATCCTTGTTTGCGCACTGAGCCCACAACCACCTTACGACAGCCGACTGGATTTCAAACATGTTTGATTATCTCCCGACCTTAGACAAGATGTCTATGTGGGAGATAAAATATATACATAGAGTTCTTATCAAGTCATCTTAAAGTTAGCCCAAAATTTAAAATGATCAGAGCAGAACAGTTGCTCTGACCACGGTTTGATCAGAGAACCTGAAGGAATGAGTTAGTGATTCATTAATTTAGGGGAAAGCTTTGTTATGCTGGCCCAGAATGTAAAATTCACATTTTAATTTGAATAAGAAGCAAGCTATGAGCTCACAAATGTTAAAATAGCGATGTGAGAACATCTGTTTTAACATTTAGGCTTTGACGCAATTGAAGGTCATCGAAACAACTTTGAATGACAAGAATTTGTGCATTGTTACTATAAATTTAAAGTTGTGGAGAGAAATAATATAGAGGTTTTGTATTTGTAGACGTTTTTCCAACTTTTACAATTACAAAAAAGTCCCACCTCTATTAATTGTAGAGTAGAAGAACAAAAATTATGTTCAGTGAGTCAAATTTAAAGACCTATTAGATTCTCAGTTTCGCTCCAATTGATCCAAAACTGTTGTTGCAAATAAAATTCAAACACTTGTATGAAAACCTTTGCATCTTATTTTTCCTTAACACAACTAGTAATCAGTGAACACAACTGGTAGAAACTGCTTCCATAAGAAGTAAACTCAAATTTACAAGTAACAGTTTTTCACTTTTGCTTCAACTGCAATGCTGGAGAAGAGCAAATATGATCTGTGACTGTGTGTAGTAAACAAAGATAAACAGCAGAGGGCGCTGTATTCCATCAACTGGCACCGAACAGGGAATCAATATTTGGCCTACTGCCATTGAACAAGATGAACCTCAAAGAATGCAGCAACTGATTCATATTATATTTTTTGCATGTTTTGAATTAGTTTTGCTGAAAAGTGATTGAATTTGTTTTGCATCATTGGTTTAAGATCAACTCCGCAGTTCAAAACAAGAAACTAGAAAACACATGATTGGTTAGTTGCTTCTAAAAGCTATAGTTCAGGTGTGAATATATTTGTTAAGCAATGGGTGTCCAGCTAAAAATAAACCCAACATTAAATCTTTTCTCAAAGTTGTTTTTTTTTTCTGAAAAGACAAACATCAAGTAAAAAAAAAAGGAAAAAAAAGAGCTGGCAAGCCAGAGATCTGTTGGAGATTAATGTATTAATATAATCATGGACTGAAATAAAACAGTTTTTCTAAATCTATCCTCTCCCTCCATACATAGTCTATGTAGGTGGGTGTAAATTTCCTGATGAGTTCTCACAAACATGTGAAAGGTCACATCACACATGTCAATTAGGGTCAATCTGAAGTAAAATATTAGTTATATAATTCTAGGCTTCTGGCAGCTTTT